TGTTACAATGTTCTGATGATGTAATCCAAGTGACCCCCCCCCACTCCCCTCCCCCCCGCCGCCTCGTCGCATCCTTCCATTCACAGCCAAGGAAGACCACGGAAAGGGAACCTTTCTTTTCTTTATTAGCCTCGCGCAGGCTCGTTGGGTGTCCCTGGCGTCCGGCTAGGAAATGTTAGGCTGTCCCAACGTTCTAAGTGTTTGTGATGTCACTGCGCAGGGAGTGAAATATGTCATAAAAGCCGAATGGAAAGTCAGAGTGTCACTGGGAGAAGTGTTCTTCCCGGCTCCGCACTCCTGCATTGGATATAACAAGTGGTTCCAGGGGCGCTGATAGTGGGGTACAGGCAATATTCCCGTGCCGGGCCCGGACCCCCTTGTGGTGGAGTTTTTGTCTGTTGGGAGGTGGGAGGGGGGGACACATTATTGCTTTTCATCTTTCTTTGTCTGACATGAAACATCTTCTGCCCCCAGCGCTGGCCGAGGACCGCTGCTACAAGAACACGGACTGCGCCAGCTGCACCGCCAACACCAACGGCTGCCAATGGTGCGACGACAAGAAGTGCGTGTCCCTGAGCAGCAACTGCAGCGTGGTGAGTACTCCTGCACCTTCACCCCTCAGATCAGCCCCAATTCCTGCACCTTCACCCCTCAGATCACCCCAATTCCTGCACCTTCACCCCTCAGATCAGCCCCAATTCCTGCACCTTCACCCCTCAGATCACCCCAATTCCTGCACCTTCACCCCTCAGATCACCCAAATTCCTGCACCTTCACCCCTCAGATCACCCCAATTCCTGCACCTTCACCCCTCAGATCTCCCCAATTCCTGCACCTTCACCCCTCAGATCACCCCAATTCCTGCACCTTCACCCCTCATATCACCCCAATTCCTTCACCTTCACCTCTCAGATCACCCCAATTCCTGCACCTTCACCTCTCAGATCACCCCAATTCCTGCAACTTCACCCCTCAGATCACCCCAATTCCTGCACCTTCACCCCTCAGATCTCCCCAATTCCTGCACCTTCACCCCTCAGATCACCCCAATTCCTGCACCTTCACCCCTCAGATCAGCCCCAATTCCTGCACCTTCACCCCTCCGATCACCCCAATTCCTGCACCTTCACCTCTCAGATCACCCCAATTCCTGCACCTTCACCTCTCAGATCACCTCAATTCCTGCCCCTTCAGACCTCAGATCACCCCAATTCCTGCACCTTCACCTTCTGGAGTTGGGCATGTAATATGGTACAAGGTAAAGATTGGGGCTGTGTGTTGCCTCTTCTGGTTGGATGGTTCAGGTCTCTGTAGATTTTGGGGTGTGGGGGTGCAGCTGATCGTGTTTTGTTCCCTCTTGCAGTCTGTGAAGAATTATATGAAGTGTTATGTGAGGAACGAGCAGATCTGCAACAAGCTGACCAGCTGCAAGAGCTGCTCACTGAACCTGAACTGCCAATGGGACCAACGCCAACAGGAGTGCCAAGCTCTGCCCGGTGCGTATAAACCCAGCTGGGATCGTCAGCCCCTCCCCCGCCTCCCTCGCCCCCCCCAGTGTCGACCTCGGCAATACACAACCCGCTCCATCCAAACAAAGTCCAACAAAGTGTTTTTGCTTCAGATACATTCGGAGCTCCAGAGTATCATTTCCAGTCCACAGCCGGTTATTCCAGCGATATCTGTGTTACTCTTTATGATACATTTTGTGTATTGAGTTTCTTTATGAGGAATTATCTTCAAAGATTCATTTATTTTTCTGTATTATTAAAAAAGAAAAAAAAAGAAGGAAAATAAAACTTATTTCTTAAAGGAGAAATATGAGGTCAGGGCTTTTCCCCATAGTTCTCCTCAGGGTAACGGGAGGACACAAACTAGCGTCCTCCCGTCACCCTAAGCTCAGTATATAGGGAGCTACAGCTCGCGGTATACTGAGACCGCCGCAGCCGGAGCGGATCCCGACATCGATGTCGAGATCCGCCCAGCTGCGTGAGTGACAGCTGGCTCTGCCTATCTAGGGGCAGAGCCAGCTGTACCCGCCCCCTCCCCCGTCCGTTCCGCTGACTGTCCCGTGCCTCCTCCATGCATTCAAGTTGGAACACCAGGACCCCGTGGTTGCCCCTGTCTGCCTGATATCTTGTGTCCGGGTTTTAGCTGGCCTGAAACCCAGATACAGCACATAGAGGACTCAAAACCCGGACTGTCTGGGTGAATCCTGCACATGTGGCAACCCTAGCAATGCTATGCGCTGGCTGCTACATAAGGAAAGAGCCCCCCCTCCATCCCCAGGTTCCCCTGCTGACATGATGGGGCCTGGTACAGAAGGTCCAGCTCTACCCCCTATTGGCTGCCCTGCCTGCGGGCCTAAAGATACCGTTCTACGGGCCAATACTTTGATTCGTCTGCTCTAGGCAGTAAAGGGATAAGCTGTACTTCCCCGGCCTCCGCTTTGCGGGTCTCTGTGTCATCTACAGACTCACCCCACTCCAGGTTGAATACCCTTCATGCCGAGTGGTGCCGACTTATTTTATTATTCTTACATTTGCAGCCCATCTGTGCGGAGAGGGGTGGAGCCACGTCGGCGAGGCCTGCCTGCGCATCAACTCCAGCCGAGACAGCTACGACAACGCCAGAGTGTACTGCCACAACCTGAGCGGGAGCCTGGCTTCCCTCACCACCCCAAAAGAAGTGGAATTTCTCCTGGATGAAATGCAGAAGTACA